TTCGTTTGCTAAGTGGGGTCTCGAGTATAAGATTTAAAATTGAAACCACCACACACTCAATTTAAATTGTTTATTTTGTTTATTACATGGAAATGTATAAAGTATGTACTTATGTATTATAAAGATAACCTAATTACCTAATCAGCTACCTAATTATAATTACATATTATTGATTCACTCTTACCTAATTACCTAATCACCTACCTAATTATAATTACATATTATAGATTCACTCTGGGTTTGCTTCCGAATCCTGTATTTGCGACAATTCCGAATCCGGTTTTTGCGAATCCTGTATTTGCGACAATTCCGAATCCTTTGTTTGCGAATCCTGTATTTGCGACAATTCCGAATCCGGTATTTGCGACAACAAATTGTCTACATCATCATCATCGTTGGATGAAAATGATAACGGATTAGATGATGACTTTTTTGACGGCGAAAGTGATGTCATTGTGGATGGGGTTGAGGCACTGAACGATGAACACTCAGCTTCCAGTTTTCGTCTTTTTCTCCGTTCGATAGCTTCCATTTTTTTCGCCTGAATTTTTCCTGCCATTTGCATTTGTCCAGCTCTTTCGCCCCTTATCCGTTTGCTGTTTTCCACCGTATGTCCACATATTTCGCAATATCTGTTTATCGCGCAGATATAAGCAGTACACACCGAACACCGCAATACCGACGCTGACTTTACTTCGTGCGATAATATAAATGGGAATTTATCACATTTGCTACAGCGATCTGTAAAGAGTAATAATAGATATTACATAGTAACATGTTATTATATTATGCATACCCAATGGACGATCAAACTCCAGTTGTCTCCTTGCCCCACAATAACTGCAAAAACGGTCCATCGTTTTTTATAATATTTTTCACTTTAATTACAACAGAGATCTAACGCCAGGCACGGGGACCACTGGACTGTTGCCGAATGCCGATATGTCGAAGTAAAGTAAAAGCTTAAAAAATTGTTCGGGGGTGAAGTGTGACAGTTTATAACGTCAACGTCAACGGCAGTCTCAAGTGCGCCCGACCGCCTGCCTGTAAACATTACTGCCATCTCAAGGGTACGTATTCGTTCTAAAAATAGAACTGGTAGACGGTCTCCGTTCTGAGGTTCGCAGTACGGTTAGTACTGAGTACGGTACGGGTTGTTAATTACATTTGGTTTGAATCGAGCGCAATGCCGCGACGACGTTCAGATATTGGTCGCCGTACACGACAAATAAATTACGTCCGTCACGCACGGTCCCGAAGAACAGAGGAGGAACATGCAGCAGAAAATGAACAAGTTAGAAATCACAATTCACGCGTCCGTGAAAACATTACACAAGAACAACGCCAAATGCGAAGTGAAGAACGACGTGTTGCGTATCGACGAGTAAGATCAGCAACACGTGCCACTAATCGAATAACATTTCTACGGCTTGCATTCGACTATGATCCAACAATTGATTATAACTCGCATCGCAACATTGATATTGGTAATATGGATAAAGTGTGTGCCCATTGTCAAGCATTGAAATACGAAACGGAAGCGCCCGGGTTGTGTTGCGTTAATGGACAAGTAAAATTAACACCCTTACAACAAGCACCGGAACCGTTACTAACATTAGTATCTGGAACTACTTCTCAATCAAAACATTTTCTCACTAATATTCGGAAGTACAACAGTTGCTTCCAAATGACGTCATTTGGTGCAGATAAAATAATTACTGATCACTTCATGCCAACATTCAAAGTGCAAGGTCAAATATATCACACTGTAGGTTCATTATTGCCGATATCTGATGAACAACACAAATTTCTACAGATATATTTTCTTGGCAGTTCGGATGATGAGGTCAACACTAGATGTGCCATTACTTCTGGGATACGCCGTCAAATTGTAGAGTCATTACAAATGTTACTCGATCAGCACAATCAATTGGTAAAATTATTTAAAACTGCAATAGACCGAATGCCGTCCGACAATCACAAAATAGTTATAAGAGCTGACAAAACACCTGGAGGTGAACATTCAAGACGATTTAATGCACCAACAATAAATGAGATAGCAATTGTCATTGGTGGTGATCAATTTGAAGCTAGGGATATTGTTTTGCATCGGCGAAATGATACATTGCAACGTGTCTCTGAAACACATCGTTCCTATGACGCACTTCAATATCCAATACTGTTTTGGCAGGGAGATGATGGATATCATTTTCATTTGAAAATGATAAATCCAACAACCGGTAAGTAATGTGTTTTGTAAGTAATTTAAAGATAATCTAACTATATGACACTATTACAGGTACGGAAACAACCAAAAAAATTAGTTGCATGAATTATTATGCGTACAGATTAATGATTCGAGAGAATGGAGACAATCATATTCTGAAGTGTCGGCAATTGTTCCATCAATATGTAGTGGACATGTACGCAAAAATAGAGACAGAGCGGCTGTTATTCATTCGACTCAACCAACGACAATTAAGATTGGAGGAATACATTCATCTACGTGATGCAATTAATACGGATGGAAATGCAAATAACGTTGGTCGCATCACAATTCTACCATCGACCTATACAGGCAGTCCACGTCACATGCATGAATATGCACAAGATGCAATGTCATACGTTCGGCATTATGGTCGTCCGGATTTATTCATCACATTTACCTGCAATCCGACCTGGAATGAAATTAAACAATGTTTGTTGCCCGGACAATCGCACACTGATCGTCATGACATCACGGCACGAGTATTTAAGCAAAAACTAAAATCATTAATGGGTTTAATTGTCAAGTACAACGTGTTTGGTTCAGTTCGATGCTGGATGTATTCAATTGAATGGCAGAAGAGAGGATTGCCACATGCGCATATTCTCATTTGGTGTATGGATAAAATTCAACCAAACGAAGTTGATGGTATTATTTGTGCTGAAATACCGGATTCTGCAATTGATTCTGAACTATTCCAAATAATTACAAAGAATATGATACATGGCCCATGTGGTGCTCTTAATTTACATTCACCATGTATGATTGATGGCAAGTGCTCTAAACGATATCCAAAACAATTCATTCCAGAAACAATAACAGGTAACGATGGATATCCACTATATCGCCGTCGTTCAACACATGACAATGGTAAATCAATAATGGTGAAAGTACGCAACAATGACGTTGAGATTGATAATCGTTGGATAGTGCCATATTCGCCATTATTATCCAAAATCTATAAAGCACATATAAATGTAGAATATTGTAATTCTGTGAAGTCCATCAAATATATTTGTAAATATGTCAACAAAGGCAGTGACATGGCCATTTTCGGAGTGGCACCTGAAAATAATCTAGATGAAATCCGACAATATCAGCTTGGCAGATATATCAGCAGCAACGAAGCAATATGGCGCATATTTGCATTTCCAATTCACGAAAGATATCCAACTGTGGTACATTTGGCTGTTCATTTAGAAAATGGACAACGAGTATATTTTACCACAGAAAATGTTTTCGAGCGAGCAGCACAACCACCAGCAACAACATTGACTGCTTTTTTTGCATTGTGCCAAACTGATGACTTTGCTGGAACGTTATTGTACTCAGAAGTTCCACGTTATTTCACGTGGAATGCTACCAGAAAAACATTTGAACGTCGGAAACAAGGTAAACCAGTAACTGGCCACCCACAGTTATTTTCAAGTGATGCCTTGGGTCGATTATACACTGTACAGTCTCTTGTAAAAGTAATGTCCCTCGGATACCTACCACTGTAGCATAGGCAACCAACATCCCAGCCGACTAGTTCAAGTTGGATTTGCGGGTGTGGGAGGTAGGTAGGTATCTAATGCGGTTCGTTTTCAGCAGGTATTCCCACTTTGCCAAACTAAAAATAAGTTAGTAGAATGAAAATGAATGGCATTTATTAGCTCAAAAGATCTGCGCTGCTTTAATCTATCCTTGGTTTAATACAATAGAAATTTTTACATTTCTTTCAATTGGTTTGGTGCGTTTTAAATTTGGAAATAGTTTAGCTAAAATAATGACCTTTTACTTTTAATTTTTTCGAGTAGATTTTCTTCTAACAAAATAAATGTGATGATTTTGTCGTTTTATACTGACATTGAAATTGATGTCTCATTATTAATTACTCGGGCCTCCTAATGGAATGCGATTATCTGCACTGGAAGCGCGACAATGCCGTTCCTTTTGTAACTACCACCTCCCACTCCTTTCAAACCCCGGGATGACACCCGCGGAAAAATTCAGCTGTTTTAATTATTTTTCCCTAATTTCTAATCATTTCACCTGCATGAAAAAGCCGGTTTAACTGGTAACTAATTTTTTTGTCAAAAAATATTATACCTATAACCTGGACTAAATATCCTTATAATATGCCTACCTACTCAAAAATATGCAACGTAAAAGCTCTCCTAAACTAAAATCAACCACGACCAAGTATCACAAATGCATATCATTTAATTTCTGATGCTAGTTACAAAAGAAAGGTATTGTTGCACAGTGCACTTGTAGGGCAATTAATCGCATTCCATGAGGAGACCTACTCGCAAGTAATTATTAATGACACTGGAATTTCAATGTCATTAAAGGACAAGAATATCACCTTTATTTCGTTAGAAGAAAACCTACTCAAAAAATTAAAAAGTGAAAGGCCATTATTTTGTCTTAATAGTCTCTAGCTAAACTATTTGCAAATTTAAAACGCACCAAACCAATTGTAAGAAATGTAAAAATGTTTACTGCACCAAGCCAAGGATATGCAGCGCAGATCCTTTGAGCTAATAAATCGATGGCATTCACTTTTATTCTACTAACTAGTATTTAGTTTGGCTAAATGGGAATATCTGCTGAAAATGAACCGCATTAGATAGCTACCTCGCACACCCGCAAATCCAACTTGGACTAGGCGGCTGGGATGTTGGTTGCCTATGCTACAGTGGTAGGTATCCGAGGGACATTACTTTTACAAGAGACTGTACATCCAAACATGGCTGAATGCTATTATTTACGTTTGCTGCTGATTACTGTGCGTGGCCCCACATCATTTCACAGTTTAAGAACTGTAAATGGCGTATTGTGCGAATCATATCGTGACGCCTGTCAACACTTACATTTACTTGAAAACGATGAACATTGGGACAATTCCCTTCACGAAGCATCACTTACAGCTTCTTCATATCAAATGCGTACATTATTCGCAATTATAATATCAACATGCTTTCCATCAAGACCTGTACAACTGTGGGAACAACATAAAGACGCCATGACAGATGACATTTTACATCAAGCACGTAATGCAAGTGAACACACAGAATTACAATACACTGCGGAGATGTATAATCAATCATTAATTTACATTGAAGACATGTGTTTGATGATGGCGAATAAACTCCTTAATCAATTGGGACTGCCATCACCAAATCGAACCATTACAGAAGTTTGCAATCGTGAAATACAACGTGAAACACAGTACGATACCAATGCATTACATACATTTGTTCAAGACAACATAACAAACATGAATCAGCAGCAAACGCACGTCTACAACACTATTATGCAAGCCATCAATGAGAACAACGGTGAATTGTATTTCCTAGATGCTCCCGGAGGTACTGGAAAAACATATTTAATTGCGTTGATTTTGGCCACAGTACGATCAAACGGCAATATCGCGTTGGCAATAGCGTCTTCTGGAATTGCAGCCACTTTGTTAGATGGTGGAAGAACGGCACATTCTGCATTAAAATTGCCATTAAACATGCAACTAACAGAAACACCAACATGTAATATTTCGAAAACATCCGCAATGGCAAAGGTTCTTCAACAATGCAAGATTATTATATGGGATGAATGCACAATGGCACACAAAAAGTCTTTAGAGGCACTGGATCGAACCTTGCGAGATTTGCGCACCAACCAACAGCCATTTGGAAATGCGATTATATTATTAGCAGGTGATTTTAGACAAACTTTACCAGTCATCGCACGATCAACTCCAGCAGATCAATTAAACGCATGTTTAAAATCATCTCATTTGTGGCGATTGTTTCACAAACTATCGCTTACTGTAAATATGCGCGTACAGTTACAAAATGATGCATCAGCCAATTCATTTGCAAGCCAATTATTGGACGTTGGAAATGGAAAATGTGCTACGGACAATACAACAGGATTAATAACATTGCCTGCAGATTTTTGTGTTACTACTGAATCACAAGAGGAGTTAATTGCAAGTGTGTATCCCAACATTGTAGATAATTATACAAATCATCAATGGTTAAGCGATCGCGCTATATTGGCAGCTAAAAACAAAGACGTAAGTGATATTAATATTGAGATTCAAAACAAGCTTAGTGGCCAAACCAACATCTACAAATCTATTGATTGCGTTATGGATCCAGATGAAGCTGTAAATTATCCAATAGAATTTTTAAATTCACTTGATTTACCTGGAACTCCTCCTCATATTCTGCAATTAAAAATTGGTGTGCCAATCATTCTGTTACGCAATTTACATCAACCAAGGCTTTGTAATGGAACAAGACTGGCTGTAAAACAATTGCTGAACAACATCATTGAAGCAACTATATTATCTGGCAAATACAAAGGCGAAAACGTATTGATTCCACGTATACCAATTATTCCATCAGATATGCCTTTCGAATTTAAGCGAATACAATTTCCCGTCCGACTGGCATTTGCTATGACCATCAATAAATCTCAAGGGCAATCGCTTCAAGTATGTGGATTACATCTTGAACCACCATGTTTCTCACATGGACAATTATACGTTGGATGCTCACGTGTTGGTAAACCGTCTTCATTATTCATCTTCACACATGCCAAAACAACAAAAAATATTGTTTATGAAAGAGCGTTGCAATAAAGCAAACAATGGAATACAACTATTGTGTATTAATGTTAATTGTATGCCGTTCTCAATTTCGTTGCAATAAAGCAAAAAGAATAATAGTCTAATGTGTATTATTTCATGTTTTTGACATGTCGATGTTGGTGTTTTTAAGCCCACATCTTATGTCAATATGAACCCCACCGCCATCAACCTTCAGAACGACAGAGGAAGTGATACACTTTTCAATGAGGCCGTGTAATGTGTCAAACAAAAGATTTCCCTATTTTCCCTTGGACCCTTGCTACGCCACGTGGGGCGTAGCCCACGGGCTCACTAGTTCTTGATAATCCTCACAGATGAGCCGGATAAAACCCAGTTAAGAATTTGTAGCTTCACCACATACAGACAAGTGTCTTACAATGCCACAGGAAGAAAATGAACTCGGGGAAAAATCAAGAGAACTAGGGATTCCCCTTATCTATTAGGTAATACAAATAATGAAACCGAAAGTTTCCTAAATTCAAATTGTAGGACAAAGAAAGAAGACCTAGATAAGCTGAGAGAAAGAATAGAAAGATTTTTTAAATGTGAACAGTTCGATTTTATCAGTAGGGCATTTACGATAATTGGATCGAGACAAATGTCTCGGTAAAATTCGGTAAACAGCTACGGTGAGCGTGGTTATGGTTGATTTATCGAACGACACGGTAAATAGAGAGCGTCAGATTTGTTTTGTAGGTTAGGTTAAAGGGACTGTTTCATAAATTTGCATGCTTTCTTGGTTTGTTTTTCTTTACTTTGTAATGGAAGTTGCAAAAAGTAATAGAAAACGGAAGTTAATTTTGGCGGCAATAGCCCAGTTGATGGAGAGTGATAGTGAGGATGAAGATGAAATGATTACAATTTTATCAAAGTCAGTACATCTACAAAAAAGACCTCGAATTGCCGTAAAAGATTATATTGAAAATGTGGCATCTTTGTATGATGATAGTGGTATGTTATTACCAATGTGTACAGTTGTATATGAAAATATATTGCTTTCAGTTTTTAAAAGTCATTATAGACTTTCACATTCTACCTTCAATTACATTCTGGGTGGAATTGGTAAATTTTTAATAGAAAAAAAGAGACAATGGGGTAGGACCGACTGCAAAACCTCCACAAACACAACTACTCATAGCCTTGAGTATGTTGTGTAACCAGCAAGTTTATCGACTCATTTCCGAGAAATTTAATGTAAGCACATCAACAGCGTGGTTGTATGTGCAAAAAGTATGCACAATTTTAACGGATCAATCGTCTAATTATATTGTGTGGCCCACTCGACAGAAAGCACATCAAGTAATGCTGCAATTTTCCAAACGTGCGGGGTTTCCTGGCGTGTTAGGGGCAGTTGATGGTACACATATACCAATTACGGCTCTTTCTCAAGATCAAGGAAGTTATTGTAATAGACATCACTACCATTCTATAATCTTGCAAGGTGTGTGTGATGCCAATTATATGTCCACAGATGTTTTTGCAGGTAATATCCATGCTTTTGTTCATATTAACGGTACATAATTTATAGGCTATCCTGGAAGCGTCCATGATGCGCGTGTATGGCACAATTCACCATTAGGGAAAAGAATTCGTGAAACACCCTTTGAACTCTTTCCAGATACGAATACCCACATTTTGGAGGATTCGGCGTACAAATGTACTAACTACTTGTTAACACCATATAAAGATAACGGTCACTTAACACGAAAGCAGAGAAATTTTAATTACAAACTTTCCTCCACTAGAGTGTTTATTGAGTAATGTTACGGCTTACTTAAAGGTCGATTCCGAATATTAAAACACGTAAATGTATAACCGAACTGCACGGTAAAAAAAGTTTATGTAATATTCCACAACTTTACGTTGGCTATTTATAACCAACGTAAAGTTCTGTGAAAATACCTAACGATTTGTAAATAAATTTTACTGTAACATCTACCGTAATTTACCATTAATATTCACAGATGAATTCATGATAGATTTAGGTAAGTTCCAATTTTTATTCTTGCATAACACGAGGAACTTGTAAATTAACCCATTTCATAAAGTGATTCTCCATTCTTCAACTGCAAAAAAGCAAGACTTTATACTGTATTTTACCATAATATGGGAAATTTACTATTTAATTTTCCAGAGCATGTTACAAGGCAATCCATACTTTTTTTAGGTTTCCTGTTCCTATTAGTTGTGTTTTATTACAGTATCTTCCTAGTATGTTACGTATAGTTTATGGAATATCACATACTAAGTTGATGAAAAAAGTGTAACATATAACGGAATTTCAGCAAGTCCATATTTTAATATGTTATATTTCAGTAATCATTAGTGCGCATAGGCTCGCCTTATAATGTAATTTTCCATTTCAGAAATGTGAAAATTACATTTGTCCGTCCGCTCGTCTGTACTTGTCAAGACGAATTCTACCTTTAGTTTCCCTTTTTACATGGTACCTACCTATTTTTGTTTATTTTTCATATATATTTTGACATCCACCTACGGAGTTTATTAAAACAGATAGGCAAAATATTTTGTACAAAAGTTGTGTGTTTTTTTCTATATTTTCTTTTGAACACATCAATAACAACAAATGACCATCGCCAAGCTTAATTAACTTTATTTTGTTTACTTAATGGAACACCTTGTATATTTTTACTCAGGCTGAAAACCCGTTTCATCCTGATTCCAAAAATATGTTTGCCAGTATTTTATTCAGCCGTTTTTTAAATAATTTAAGTTTATTATTCAAAAATAGAACTTAATAATCAACATTGTTATGGATTATTACTATTATTTTTATAAATTTTCGAATTATTAATTTTTACATTCTATAACAATTTTTAACAATATATTATCTCAGTATATAACAAATTTTTCCCATTCCAATGCATGACAGTGTTTCAAAAACTCTTGCTGCATTTTTTGAATAATAAACTTCAAATATTTAAAAAAAAAGGCCGAATGAAATACCGGCAAACTATACATTTTTGGAATCAGGATGAAAAGGGATTTCACCCTGAGTAAAAATATAGTGTTCCATTTAAGGGAATTTGTTCTTTTTTTTAACATTACGATGCTCATTTGTTTTTTGTTGATATGTTGAAAATATATTACAGAAAAAAACACGCAACTTTTGTATAAACAATTTTTGCCTATCTCTTTTAATAAACTCTGTAGGTGGGTGTCAAAATAAAAATGAAAACCCTGTACACGTTTAACAACTCCCAAAATACTTTGGATATGTCTTCAAGATCATGTTAGGTAACATTGGAATCCTCGTTAGAAACCTTGCACGCCAAAAAATAAAATAAAAGCAAAAAGTTAAGAATAGTGAATAGTGTATATTTTTCTTATTAGTAACAGAAACATAAAAAACCTCTCTAATAAAATCCTTAAAACTAAAAAGAAGACATTTCTATTAATATTAACCTTCTTTAATACTGTTCATAAAATTGAACACTTTTTTTCGCGTTGCACACACTTTTTTAGATTTTGACCCAGCGTCGGGATGTATTTTCAGAATCATCCTCTGCAACAACTCCATGGTAGCGCATAGATTGCGAGGATACTTCAAATTTAAAATGAAAAATAAGGAGAATGACACTTTAAGAGCTTCTATGAATGTGGTATACCCATCGTGATGCACCAACTCTCTCTCTAGGTACACGAAGTAAAGCATGTTTTCTTCTTCTGAAAAGAAGACTGCTTACAGAAACTAGTCGGTAATGTGATGAAATGTGATAACCAATGAAAATATAACTAATTTGCAATTTTCACAATGCGTGGAATTCCCACATTACAATTAGCTAGTTAAGGATTACAGATAGAAAGAAATATTTTAGCATTTATTATGGCCATGCAAACAACTTTCCATTTCAGAATGCTAATTATGTTTGGTTTATGGAAGCACCAACATTGAAAAAAAATGCATGACTAACTATACACTGTGTTCAAGATAAGGAGGGCCACTATGGGTACTTTAGAAACGGTAAAATATACAAATTTGGTTAAATGGGAGAATGGTTGCGCAATCAAAGGTATAAAAAAATAGCGTTTAGAAAACCCTGAAAATTTCTTTGGTTTTTGAAATATTTTGAAATAATCGGATTTTACAAACTATTCTTTTCTGGCGTTAATATTTGACTTAGAGCAAAACCAAGTACACTTCTCTACGCCAATTTTTAACGCTCTTTAAGATGGTGTTAATTTTTTAATCCGACGTTTCGTCTTTACGGAACCAACATCAACTTAATTTTTTTAAATACGGTCCTGATCTTCTAATATCATTTTCTTAATTCCCTTTTTAATCTGATGTCAATGAGTTACTAAACTTTATGGTTTAATTACCTTTTATTAGCCTTTTTTCGGGTTTAATTAAGAAAATTCCTATTACAGACCTGTATTATAAATTTTTTTAAATAATTAGCTAGGGCAATTAACGTAAGTGAATTTAATGAGAAGCAGAAGATGCTATCTGTGTTTAGAAAATAATGAAAGTCTTTTGGAACATATGTTCTAAATTTAGTCGTTTTATTCAAATTTGTTCGTTGTGGTATTTTATTTCTTATATTTTCTGTTAATTCAATTTGATTTCTTAGTTAGTTCTGAGTTTGTTTTTTCTATTTATTTCACTCACGTTAATTAGCCTCCTAGTTAATTATTTATTTTTTTAAAAAATTGGTGCAGGTCGTAATAGGAATTTAGCCCGAAACAAAAGATTAAAGCGCAATTAAACCATAAAGTACTATACCTGATTTAATTCAGAATAAAAAGGGATTTAAGAATATGATATCGAAAGAACAGGTCTGTATTTAAAAAAATGAAGTTGATGATGGTTCCGTAAAGACGAAACGTCGGATTAAAAAATTAAGAACGCCATCTTAAAGTTAAAAATGGTTGTAGTGAAATGTCCTTAGTTTTGCTCTAGGTGAAATATTAACGCCAGAAAAAAAATAGCTTGTAAAATCGCAAAATCCGATTTTTTCAAAGTATTTAAAAAACCAAAAAAAATTCAAGGGTTTCTTAACGCTATCTCATAAATACTTTTAATTGCGCAACTTTTTTCCCATTTAACCAAATTTTTATCTTTTGTCGTTTCTAAAATACTCATAGTGGCCCTCGTTATCTTGGACACAGTGCAGTATTGTTCAAAAACTGCAAACACAACCAAAATTTGCTAAGGCCTTGATCTTGTAGGCTCGGCTCATATAATGTAGCACACAAAAATAAAACTTACCCCCAGTCTGAATTATATATGGCGATAGGGGAATACTCTCTAAGGTAATTTCAGGTAAGTCCTAAAACACAAAGTATGATTTTAAATCATATATCATGTGAATTATTAATTTCTTACCTTGCATTTTAAAAAAAGGTTCTGTAAATCTTCTTTAAAATATTTCGTAATATTTGTGATAGTACGAATTTCTACGAGATTAGTGTCGTCGAAATCATTTTTCAACTTGGTTTTTAAAAATGATGTGATTTTATTGCATTTGCTGGTGATGAGGTCCATTAAATGGATGTCAGAGTTCGTTAGCTTGTTGAAGTGCCAAAATATTGCCTTTTTTGAGAACAGCAATGGCCACTCTTCCATTAGCTTAGAGAAGGGTGGCTCTTCTTCATTTAACACTTTTCTTATTTGAGGATAAGTTTTTTCTAATAATTGCACAAATTGCTCATCAGAAGTTCCGGCATTCTCAGTTAACTTGCTTATGCTTTCACTGTCATGGTGGCCGATCTCAGGTGACCAATTTACACAGCCTGCTCTAGCGCTTAAAACCCGTTTTTTTGAAACGATTGGAGAAGATTGTGCTTCGGTGCTTTTTCTTTTGTGTGGCCTGTTTAAGTAGTTGTTCCTTTCTACTAATTTGCTCACTAAGGAATGGCTTCCATCCCCAAGTACAACACCATCTTCATCTACATCCCTAAAAATCAATGGATATCGATCTATAAGTTTTTTAGCCACAATCTTGAAGGCTTTCATTGGAATGACCTTCTTAATTAGTCTCATGTCATTTACAATTAGTTGGACTAAAAACTTAATATCGAGTTTATTTCTCACACCATTTCCAAGGTTTTCAAGTTGTTCACTATTTAGTCTCTCTAAGGGGATTTCAAAATTAGTCCATAAAAATTCTGAATTGCAATCTACTTTGCAGGTCAAATCGATATTGTCGATAGGTGTAGAGTCAGGTTTTTCAGTTGGAGTTGGGTGAACTTCTCTCTCCTCAAAGATGGCGCCTTCAGGAAATGGTTGCAATAGCAAGTCTGAGATATCCGATTGTGCGATTGTTACCGTACTTCCTGTTGCTACAGAAAATGAATCGGTTGATTTCCAGGTCTCACTCTTTTCCAATAACATCAATATATCCATCTGGTTAAGGTACGGTAGAACTTCTGAATCGATTGGCGTGCCGTTAGATTCCAAAGCTAACGATGAACCGTCAACTTGTAGCTTTTGGGATGCTGTAATGAAAGACATGGTTCATTTATAATAGCCGAGCATTATGGCCATCTTACCCTTTAAAATTAAGGTTTTGTACATATCCACGTCATTTTCATCGATCAAAATTAAAGTTTTCCTCTCTCTATCTCGGGACCATACGGTGTAGATCTTTTTCGCCGCCATGGTTATTCTGAGCAAAAAGGCATTCAAATTTATTTAACATGTGAGCACAACTTCTTTGTGTTTTGCTCGTTAAATAAATTTAAACGCATAATACATAGCATTAGAGAGTTATGTTTCTTGAGATTTTAGGATTAGCAGTGCAAGTAAGTGAGAAGTGAGGTCCAAACAAAATATCATATTTATAATAGAAAGAAATAGGGGGGCATATTATTAAATAATAGGATTTACTATTTTAAAGTTTAGAGTTTTTGATTTAGAATTTTTCTAAAGGTGCCGATTTAAAATAATACAAGTACTTTTCGTTCAATTTACATTTTAAAACAGTTTCAAAAGATAATATTTCTTCAAAAGATATACAAACATCTACATCAGTACTTCGGGAGTGTTCGATTTGTAGCTCTTCGTATAAACCGGTACTCATATAATAAATTTCAACATTTTTTCCAACAAACCACAAGTTTTCCATACTCTCTGTAATTAAAATGTACTTAATTTCGCACAGATGGAAAATACCAAATTCATCTTTATCGTGACAAATTAGCATATTTTTTTTATAAAATGTACCCCTATGAGTTATTTCTTCGGCTACAAATCTGAAAGTACTCAACATATATCTACTTGATATCAAATTTAACATCTCGGGAGGATAGTTGACTGGGTTGAAAATTTCTAAGTTTTCAGCTATAACTTTATTACAATAGAGGATTTTATTTTCCGAATTCAGAGCTTGTAAGAATTGGTGCTTAGTTGTAAGATATATCAAAACATTCTTAAAATTCGGTGATCGCCTTAAAGCATCTTTAAAATATTTATGCTTACTTTCAAATCTTAATGTCCATAATAACCTAAGCGGACCCCACATTTTAATTAAATGAGGATAGTGCAAAATATAATGATGTTTTGGTGTAAGCTTTATTTCAGGAAAAAGCTGTTTCCTTAAATCTATGTATACCAGGAGAAGATCTTTCAAAACCGCAACTTGGTCTTCGGATACCTCAACCGCCAACATTATGTTCAAAATTTTTCGTAAACATAAAATCATTTGCCACATTTCTTTCCCGTGTTCATTAGATTTAATTAACGGTATTTTTTCAAGCAAGATAAATGGTAGAACATTATTTATATACATTAATTGTGAAGCCGTCCCCGATAACTTATCGGCTTTTTTTAATTACAGGGACCGATTGTTTCTTTTCAAATAAAAAATTAATCGTCCTGAGTTTAAAATTTAAGTATTCATAGGAGAAGTACTTTTTTTGGACAAAATAATTAATTGCTAACATTAAATCACGGGCGATTACTCCTTCCACTAAATCATGTGCTAAACAAGGGGGTAACCCAGGAAGAGCAACGTGAAAATAGTTTAATTCATTTAAAGGAGAGTTATGCTTAATTCCTTCAAAATGGTTATTGATTGTTAAAGCCATATTAACATCATGGTCATATGATTGCACAGTACGCAAATTACCAAAATAAGTTGACCCATTAAAATTTTGAATTTTACAAAACCTACAAAAAAACATTTCTACGTTGAAGGTTTCCAAAAATCCTCCAATTTGGTGACTCCCTAGATTATCGCCGACGGTACAAAGTATGCTTCCTTTGACTATTACATTTTCATTAATTCTTAACCCTTCTTCTTCCAAAATTTTTAAGTCATTGATCAAGGGACGAAGAATAGTACCAAAACCAAAGTGTTTTATATGTTTTTGCGCGATCGGTCATTTCTGACTATTTACCATGGGTGTTTCCATGACAGTAGGTAGAATTTACCAGTTGCTATGATTACGACGACGTCAAAATTACTTACCGATCTAAAAACAGAACAGCAAAAATACTTACCGACGCCTTTTTAAAAATCAACAGTCTTACATTACATTTAATCTTTAATTATTGTTAGGTACATTAAACGTACAATTTGTGCTGTTGTTTCCTATAGCAAGACGCTCATAAATTCATAAAGGAAGTTCAAAGCTAGTAAACTACATCAGACACATGCACATTTTTATGAAATTATTAACTTCAATTTTGACAAATAAACTGGTTACCTAGTGATATACACCATACCACTTCGATCATTTCGATTTATTCTGCTCGTTAATTTCTTAGTGCATATTTATATTGGTTGCATAATTTTAATTTCGATCGCGCAAAAAATGTTATAAGCACGTCGAACGTTAAGGGTACCGTTCTCAGACAATAATTGGAGTCGTCGCTTCGCTCCTCCTCCAAACAATTGTCTTCGAACGGTAAAAATCCCTTACCGTTCTCCATACTTAATATACTATTATCAAAACACAAAGCAATTAATTGTATCTGTTCAGTTCGTGTTCTATTCCATGGATACAAATTTGCAAGGGTCATATAAATTCCTGTGATTTTATATTTATTGCGAGCACTGCCCAAAGGATTACAAATTTCAAACGAATCTTGATATAAAATTATTTTAAGAGAATGTTTATTTCTTGAGAAAAAAGTGTTATCTTTACAGCAGATTCCGTCATAATAATCTCTATACACACCGTCGGAAGAAACGTGCGGCGCAGAAAAGCATTGACTATTTACATTTGGGTCATTTAAGAGTGATTTTAAAGTTTCATGTATTGGAACGTAGTAAAAAAATGCATCTTTTTCTTCGACTACGCCTAAATCTATTTTGAGGGGTTCTACAAACTGAAATTCTTTTTTATAAAAATTGTGTCGCATGTAAGTTGTCCGCAAAGAACCGCTCACTTTATTATGAGCGACCCCAAACAAACTATCTTTCAATAAACTTGCTACATTTTCGTAATTTAACCTGCTTTCGTTATCGAGTTCTCTTAATTTTGCTAACATGTAATCATGATTTAAATTCTCAAAATCAGAAAAACCTCGTATGATTTTTGTGAGAGAATTTTGGCAAAGAAAGTGACTTGATTCCAAGGTTAGATATAAATCGGCCAAATATTTAACTCCAATTTCTTCCAAGTCTTTTTTTGAGTTTAGAGAATGTAAATCGTTAACATTTTCAGTTTGCTCGCTATCGAGCACATATTCTTCAGAACCAGATGGTAGGTTGCAATCTATTTCGTTAGTCACGTTAAATCCGAATTTATGAATGCCTGCAAAATCAAAGTGTTTCCTCATCACATGGGTCTTAAACGATGGAACATTTTTGTAAACAGTTTTGCAACTGGCACAAGAAATAAATGGACATGTTATAGGAACGTTTTCTCTAATGTGAGAGCGCATATGAGCACACAATTCCTTTTTATTAGTAGCAATAAAAATGCAATTTTTAACGTTACATTTTACCCTAATTTCACTACTTTTGGGGTTTAATTGTCTGTGATGTCGAAAGATATGTTGTCTAAATCCAGAACATGTTTTAAAAGCTAATCTATTGCACTGATGGCGAATGCAAAAGAATTGCGCGCCCTTTTTATTTCTATGCAAGTACTGATGCAAATCGTATTTCTCGACATTACTGCACTTAAATTTACAATTATTACAGTTAAACATAATTAAAATACGTACTTACCTTCAGTTTTTCAGAATCGCAGATTATTCTATTAATTACAGGACACAGACTAACAAACACCAATTCAGTTCAGGATAACCAAATGACTAGGCTATGACGTTCACTTCGCTTCTCCGCAAAAACTGCAGTTCAGCAAAAATATAAATATGACATCACGTTCTTCGTTTTCAAGTATCAAGACAGTAATATTACACAAGGGCATATTCAGGACAAAATCTTACAGTATAGGTTTGACGTTTTTCATACTTACATTGTAATTATTTTTTTTACATACCCCATACTTTAATTTTAATGTCAACTTATGGGAATTTACATATTTACACTGTAAATTTCCCAAGTAATATATTTTTACGTATTATCTCATGTAATACTCATATGCGTTTTCATTTTACATAACATATCACAAAACATTTTTAATTCCCTGATTTAAACTGCAATTTTTACAGCACGGCGATTGGAAAATTCCTGTAACTTTTTTCAGTGGGATTTTTACGATTTTAATAGAAGTTGCATCTTACAATAATGGGAAATGAATGCAAGTGGAAATGCGCTTTATGTAAATCGTTTACGATTACTTTTTAACTTGTTTATATGACCCGTGAAAAATACGATGTACGGCACAAGAAAAATAAAAGTTGGCAACTTTGTTGGTTTCAACAGTCCGGTGCACCCGCACAGAACGCCCTAACAACTATGGGTCAAATTTCCCGGACAGTATAATAGTTATTTGGGTAACCAGTTGGGAAAAGCACTATTTTTTGTATAGGAGTGTTTCCCAACGTCTTTCACACAATATTTTTTCTAATTTTCACATTTAAAATGATAGTTTTCACCACCAGTCACGAAATATTTGACTTTTCACAACTGGTTGTGAAACGTAAGGCATTTGACAACGTCAACGATTTCTAAAAAGTGTCATTTTAAATGCCAAAATTATAAAAAGTTTGTTACCAATCCACGTACTTGAAATTTGTGGTCAGTGGCGTACTTCTGCATGGTCAAAGGGCGCATTTTTTTTTAAATAGCAACCATTAGTTTATATTACATATTCTTAAAGAGTACACTTTTTTGAATATAGCAGCATTCAAAACGTATTATATTACAAAATAAAAATTAAGAGAAAAACTTTAAATTAAGGAACATAATTTGTAAATTTATCTCTTAATTCTACTAGTTTTTTTTTATGTTGTCATATTATAAAAAAGTTCATTCTTTAATAATACCTCACGAAAAATAGGGTTTCTCATTGCAAATCGTGACCCTCTTGGTGCTCTAGACGCACGCCACTATAAATGATTTTTAAGTAGGTATATAATTATTTACGTACATTTTTTTAGTGATCTTTAGCACAATAAATTGCTTTCACATTCATAACTAACAAAACAATAGTGAAATTAGTAAATTAGCACAACCGTTTTCTTTCATTTGAGTTTTTCTCTTAAATTTGATTATATAATATAAATTTTTTATGCTGCTAAGTGCAGGTACTCTTTAAGAATATGTAATGAAAACTATTTAGTGGTTGCCATTAGAAAAAATAAGTCACATTGACCATATTCATTGTGAAGTATGGAGTGTGTCTTATACCGGGTGGCTAACGAAACTCTTTCACATTTGAAAATTAAAAAGTTAAAAAATGATAGTTTTTGAGAAGTGTGTATATTTTAAGAAAAAAAATATTTGACAGGCACTTCCCGTTATATCGGAATCAATCAGAATTTCGTAATTGATCATGGCAACCCTAATATGTTATTAAATATTAGAATTCTACGGAAAATTTTAAACACCATATACCGAAACTTAATACTTTGTGACTTACGACGTTCAGTCTATTTCAACATTATTTGGATTTTATAAAAAAAACAATTGGTGTGAGATGTACTTCAATCATGGCATTCTCCGATGGCGCAATAAAAAACGGATTTAAAGATTTTAAAAAACTCGATATTTTTATTGCGTCAATTTTAAACTTTGATCGAGTTTCATAGGAAAACTATTTACTTTACAACAATGACACTTTCTATATTCAAACCTTCTTTCCATTGTTATCCCCATTTTTCATTTTTACAAGTACCTATAATAAAGCATATCTAAAAGGCAATAATAATGTTAGGGTTGCCATGTTAAATTACGGAATTCTGATCGTTTCCGGTCAAAGCAGAAGTGATGGTCAATTGTTTTTTTTTTGCTTAAAATAAATTTGCACATTTTTCAATTATGTAGTTGACAAAAATTTCAGTTTTTTATCTGAAGCGATTTTAAAATGCGAGCTTGGATAGTAGTTTCGTTGTCATTCTGTATATTTAAAAAAAATGGAACAACGTCGAAAATAATATACAGGGTGAGTTTTTCCCGATGTTTAGTACCTATGGGGATCTCGTAAACCCAGAGATACAAAGTCGCTAAAATGGCCAAAGAATTGCAGAATTTTATGTTCTGTTAGAGTTTCTTCATCTTCTAACTGTATACAAATAACGACAATGTGATAAAAAAACCGAAAAATTTTGGAAAATGCGCTGGCGTTCATTTATTTTCAAAGATATCAAAAAATAATTTTAACAAACCCATAATGATTTTTTCCTCTTTTCTGGTTATGCTAAAATAAAATTTTTATGACTTGTGGGTTTCGAGTAAATCACAACTTTCTTATTTCTTATAGACGCCATATTAGATGTCACAGAGAAAAAAATTACAAAACCACTAACCAGTGATACTAAACACATTGTAAACTTCTGGGCAAAGATGAAAAGTTGATTCCCAAATGAAATACGTGTTTAGTATTATGGATTTTCTCTATACACGGTGTCCATTTTTCGAGTGCCACTATGGGGATCTCACTTATCTTAAGAGATAGAAAGTTGGTTAATTGGGGCAAAGTTGCAAATTTTGCGTGCTCAAGAAGAATCTGAAAAGAAATTTGAAATATCTTCAATATTTTTGAAGATATCACAAAAAACGAAAATTTCTGATTTTCGTTTTTAATTTTTTTATAATGAACTAGTCGTAGTAAACATTTCTAATTAGCACATTATTCGGACACTTTTTAATGGAGATTTCAAATATGGCATCCTGTTTTTAATTACGTTCAAGATGACGGAAAACACGTGGCAACTTTAGTTTTTCTTATGGGCGCCATATTGAATTTTGACATTTTGGGATTACGTCTTTTTTCTCTTTACAACGACATATCACCCATAGTGGTTCAATATCACATTTTTCCTAAAAATACAATTTTTCATTTTTTGAGAAGAGTGCTTTGGAAAAACAAAACGTTCTTTTGTTGTCAACAAAATTTGACAGTTTGATCCATCTGTCTGGTTGCAGCCAAAGAAAAATACCTCAAACTAGGTTGGTTGTTGCCCCTCTGGATAACGCTGCAAGTATGTTGCAGCAGTCATGTGGGCATTTCGATGAGAAGTGTAGTAAATTTGGATCATATCTCTTTGATCTGCACTTGAAAAAGGCATTTTCGCAATACAACTAGCATAAACCTAAATGACACTACATGAAATAAGTCAACCTTTTGTTCACAACAAAAGAACGTTTTATTTTTCCAAAGCACTCTTCTCAGAAAATTAAAAATTGTATTTTTAGGAAAAATGTGATACTGAACCACCGTGTGCGATATATCGTTGCAAAGAGAAAAAAAGACGTAATCTCAAAATATGAAAATTCATAATGGCGCCCATAAGAAAAAACTAAAGTTGCCACGTGTTTCTCCGTCATCTGGAGAGTTATTAAAAACAGGATGCCATATTTGAAATCTCCATTAAAAAGTGTCTGAATAATGTGTTAATTAGAAATGTCTACTACGATTAGTTTATCATAAAAAAAATAAAAACGAAAATCAGAAATTTTTGTTTTTTTGAGATATCTTCAAAACTATTGAAGATATTTGAAATGTCTTTTCAGATTCTTATTCAGCATGAAAATTGGCAACTTTGCCCACATTTAACCAACTTTCTATCTGTTAAGATAAGTGAGATCCCCATAGTGGCACTCGAAAAATGGACACCGTGTATAATGACATAAAAATCCAATATGGCGTCCATAAGAAATAAGAAACTTATTTACTCGAAACTTATAAGTGATTTTATTTTAGCACTATCAGAAAGCGAAGAAAAAATTAACAAGGGTTTGTTAAAACTATTTTTGATATCTTTGAAAATAAATGAACGCCAGGGCATTTTTGAAAATGACATTTTTCGGTTTTTTGACAATGACTTCGTTACTTGTACAGTTAGATACATAAAACTCTGCAATTCTTTGTCCATTTCTTATACGGATTATGAGATCCGCATACTAAACATCGGAAAAAACTCACCCTGTATATTTTGTATCTGTATCTATGTCATTTTATTCAAAACAAAAACTTCACCGCGAATTTTCAGAGTCAATAATATGTTATCGTAAAAGGATCTGTTAAAATAAAATTACGTCGCGTAGACATTGGTAAAAAAAGGTGTGACTACTACTATAAAATAGTGAATAAAAATCGAGCCGTTCACATTTCCTTTCACGAAATGGCGAGATGGTTAGAAATTACTGAATGGACGTGTAACGAATACGAACGTTATAACTGGCCTCTCCTTGCAGTTTCGGGTAACTAATAAAACCAAAGAAAAGTTGATAATTATACCATTGAAATTTAACCACATACATCTCTTTTTACGCTAGTTTTGTATGCAAAGAAAAACATTTTTATACTTTGCCATCATCAGTAATAATAATAATACTTTTAATGGTTCTAACTTCTAATACATTCATATTAAATTCAAGGATAATGCTAATCATCTAAGTTACAGCAAAGATCACTTACTAATTATTAATAATTATTAGTTACTCTTTGGTTACAGTACATATGGTGAGGGAATACAAAAAACAAGTAAAAAAGTAATCGTAGACGATTTACATAAAGCGCATTTCCACTTGCATTCATTTCCCATTTGTAAGATGCAACTTCTGTTAAAATCGTAAAAATCCGGTTACAAATATGAAAGATAGCGTTGCACATGGGCAATTCATTTTTGACGTGCTACTTCAATTTCAGTTTCTGAA